TACTCAGCAGTTAAGAAATTTTGGAAACCTTAATGTAAAATAATGATAATAATATTCTCGTTTCTTTGCGCGCAAGAATGTGTGTGTGCGTGCGTTTATGTGGAAAGTAATAATCATTTCACCCCAAACAATGCAATAAAGTCGCTAAGACGCAAGTGGTTAATGTCAGAAAGTAAAAGAATCTGATAAAAAATTATAAAGGAGAAAGGACAATAAAATAATAGGATTCCAGGAGACAAAAGATGACGATTGACATTGAAATTAATTTTTTAAAGATAAAAATTGACTGGAAAGCAAGAATCCAGGCGAGAATTTCGATAAGCGAGAAGTACGAGAGAAGAAACTGTTAACATAGAACTTATGGTTACATCTAGCAATTTCAAAATTAAAAGATGAGACCTATCTGCCAATGTAGTACCGCGCTTAAGTCCGTAAACTCGAGATGCCAAAGCTTCATTATAGCAGTGAGGAAATGAATGAAGCAGAGCCGCTAGGTCAGGACCGATAATATTGTAGATTATTCTTTGGATTTTATCTAGAATATTGAGATACTTAACAGAAGCAACACACAAAAAGTGGTAGTAATATTCCATGTGTGAACGAATGGTAGACTTATAAAGGTGTAAGATAAGATTCCGGAGAGAAAAATTGTCTAGATTCAATATAATCGTTTCATTTCATATCAGTGGAAAACGTTTCTGTGAGAAGGCTCAATGGGTCACTCTTCTGGGTGTTAGCATCAGTCATGCTAAATGAAGACAAAAAAGATTCTTTCGGGCGTTTAAATAGAACAGAGGATTTAAAATTAAGAAGCCATTTCGTTCCCTAGTTGACAACAGATTGAAGGTCAGTTGCCAATTTGACCTAATCGAGCGTATAAAACTTACTATTGACATTTGTAAATATAGTCGTGTCATCAGCATATCTGATGAGACCAGGAAGGTCATTGATGAAAATTAGAAACAAGATAGGGCCAATGATATAGCCTTAAGTGCACCCGCATTAATGTAAAAAGAATTAGCATAGTGACCGTTCCAAATAATTTTCATTTTTTGCGATTTAGTAAGAAAGATTGAATCAAATAAAAATTTCGGTCAGAAATACCATAAACCTTCATCTTGAGAAAAACATAATCATGCCAATCCCTGTTAAACGTCTTCGGGATATCCAAAGCAACAGGCCGAACTTCACTGTCCTTATATAAAGCTTGACAGACTCTTTCAGCAATAACTATTAACATATCAGCAGTATACCTAAGACAAAAGCTATACTGTTTGTCTGAAAGAAGACTCCTGGATGTGATATATTTAACCAATTTGTGGTTGATTAGAACCTCTAGGTTTTACCAATATAGGCAGAATATTATAAGTCAGTAGTTATAGGGAACAAACGGTTCGATCGAGTTATAAAAAAACTGCATAAGAGAACTTTTAACAAGAAGCAGTAAAGCATTATCGTAGACCTTAGAGAAAACATAAACCATTTCAGGAGCATATTTCTTTGGACGATTGCTGGGATATTATCAAGTCCCCATGCTTTGGGAATCAAATTTAGAGATGATAGCAAAAACCATGGACGGAATTATATGGATATCACACAATAAATACTAGAAAGTCATGCTCCAGATGTGTCAAGTGTAAAACTGGAAGAAAATTTACAAGCAAAGCATGTTACTTTATCAGTAGATGATGATAATCTCTCGAGTGAAGAGATGTGGGATAGAGGATTTACTCTAATTTAACACACTGTTACAGAGCAGCCAGTAGCAACGAGAATCAAATTTGTTAGAGGTTATACGATGCTTCATTCTATCAGCGAGCAAAGATTTAGCGTCATTGAGGGCACCCTTACAATTATTCCTCGTGGACAGAAAGAAGCATACGTTGTAATAAGTATATAGTAAACTAAACCATTGTATCATGAAATAAATCATGCTTTCTTAAAAGATTTAAATGTTCAATTTTAAAGTAGAACTTTACCCTGGGTATAGCCTAAAATAAAGCAGGTGACATTTGTAGTGAAAGAGGGATTAATGAATTCTTTAGAACAGATGGTGCCTATATATATATTGATATGTCCCGGAAAGGGATATATTTGAACGAAGTAGCTAAGTGGTTTTGGCTACTATAACCAAGTAGAATACGGTAGCAGTTATCGACTGGTACGCCTCTTAGTCGCAGGTAAGAAGTGTAGCTCAATGGCGTAGTCCAATGGGCGTCATTATAGACTTAGCTCTCAGACTAAGGCTCTGACTCTGTCGTACCTACACGTCCGTCGGTATTTATGACGGACACCAGCCAATCATATTCCAGTGAGAGGGAACACAGGTGTATGCACATTCCATTATATCATATATATATATATATATATATATATATATATATATATATATATATATATATATATATGCGTGTGTGTGTAATAGGGATTGGCTAACCACCCTGGTAGACGGGTATCCTCAAATACGACTGGCCAGCTACATTATCCTATTCTATATTCAACGGAGACATAGTTCAGAAAAATTAGCTGTTATGAGAGTTCTGAAATTTTCGAAAAAATGACATCATATGTGACGGATCTTGAAATGGGAATAACTTATCCGTTTGGAGACAATTTCTAGGCGTATATTCATTTAAGGTTCAATGGTCAAAATACGTCAAAAATTAATCTTTCAATATTATGACAGTCGGTCCACAAAAGCTCGTTAGATTTACCGTTTCAATTTGCTTACTGCCAGAATGCCTGACGCTACTATAACGCTATGTCCATGGCAAATGTTCAGATGAGATCCATCCTTTAGTTCCAACCGTTCAAACCTTTTCAGCTAGGACACACCATGCCACTTCCATAGAGTCGAATCACCCTCATTTGCTCTGTGTTCCAAATTTAAGAAGAACAGCTTTTTTCCGTAAAACTGCCACTTTCTAGAATAGACTCCCACTCTAGTGCTCACCTGAGCAATTCAGTCTTAGCCTATTCAATTGTCATCCATCTTCTTTCCTTTTTGTCCTTATAATGTTCACTTCTTACAACTTACTCTTCTTATTAGCATACACAACATTCATCATTACCATATTGATCGCTACTCTCTACTTTGAGTGGCTATCGAGCTTTGTATTGGATCAAATTTAGTATAAAATTAAATAAAATTTACATAGTGTTACTGCTGTTGTTGCTAAATCTCGTGTCATGAAGACGGTGAGCACACAAAAGTATCCTTGTCCCTACAGGTCTCACGGTGTGCCAAGAGCGTCGGAACATTACCCCACCCAGCGCCAGATTAATCTGCTGGAGGTCCTGGCGGGCGAAGTCATTCCAGCGGCTGCGTGGTCGACTGAGATGTCACCACCAGTTTACAAATGGCGAGTCGAAATAGCAGATAAATCTGGTAGAGTTGTCCTCAGTTTCATCGCAGGCTATGACCAAGCCAGCAAACACGGTGCAGGTTTTTGGTACGGAGGATGTTCGACTGGCCGGTCGTCCGGCAGAGCCCCTCATTGGATCACAACCAGTGCACTCGCTTGATGGTTCTGAGTGCATGGGTCTCGATGCCATGCACGCGGGAGGCGAGGGTTTTTCTGAAAATGTCACGTCTCGACACTGTATGGTAGCACAGAGATGACGTTGGTGTTGTAAATATTGTAGAAGGAATTGACTTCTACTATTTTCTCTCGTGTGCTTGCTCTCAACTAACACGACTCACATATGATAGCACCAAATATTTGTACTACAGTCGGTTCATGGAATGTTTCACTTGTCGAAGTTTTGTGTATCAACTCCCGTACGTTGTCATGACAGCGAATCATATTTTTTTTTCGTTCATAACTAATATTTAGGTTCAGATAAACAGTTAAGTCACAATGAAAATAAATTTATTGATGAATTTTTTTTCCTTTTTAATTTTTAGGTTCGAGTCCAGATCGTGGTGCAGTTCGCCAAGGTCGGGGAGATTGATACGTTGAAGGAACAGTACTCAGCTGACGTTATAGTTAAAGGAAAATGGCGAGAACCGGCCCTGGACGGACAAACACATACGGTCAGTCTGAGAATATTTTTTGAAAATTACTTTGACCTTTCACTTCTTTGTTCTTCCTTCTCACACCATGTTCATTTTGTTTGTCTAATTTGCTTTCAGTAACGCTTCATAATATATTGACACATCTAAATATAATCATCAAATCATCATAAAAATTATACTCATCGACCCGGAACCTAACAATAATACCGACATCTCAAAGTTTTTCTTTGTGGTTAGGAAAAGATTACGATTACTGAATCCAGCTTTCGTGAATACAGAAAAGTTGATATTGATTTCCGTGTCGTTAAAAATGATTTCTTCATACCAACATGGAATATTTTCAATTTTTTTTTATCTGTCTAATTATAATGTTTTATCTATGAGCAGAGACTGTTCATATAGGAAATTGCAAACAAATACAAAATACAAAAAATAAATTAAACTCTGAGAATAGCCACTAATAATTTCGATTTCAGACAAACAACTTTAATGATGCCATCAGGAAGGCACGGTGGATAGCGACACGAATTGAGGAATTAGAGAGTCGAGTTGGAATTCCAACCGTATCTGTTACATTCAGTTAGGTGTAAATACTTTTGGGAGAGGTATGAATCCATCTCTTCACTTCCCACCAGCTATGAGTATATAGCAAGACAGATCGTATCGCCTTGGATGGAAACCGGTCAAGAAGAACCTGAATGATTGGGTGGTTGGCGACTAAACCGGCTCCTCCCACCAGTCTGGTGAATAGGGTAAGTGGAATCCCAGCACAACATAAAAGGACGGATGAACTTTTCAGTTAACGGCAATCCACGCCAACGATGGTATAAATAGCCTCACCAAGTCGCAGTTGGGCAAACGTGGTGAGTACAGCTACACCGATTAAGACATGGTCAGTCAGGGAGGGCTTCCTCCAAAAAGGCCCTGGATTTGCAATTTTATTACCATCGTCAATATATTTTCTTTGGATACGACTGTATTACGCTGAAACACCGGTTCTCGTCAGATTACCGAAGTTAAGCAATTCCCGGCTTGTTCAGTACTTAGATGGGCGACCACTTGAGAATACTGCAGTAAGCTTGGATGTGCGGGTGGTGTAGTGGATAACGGTTTGAAATTGAAAAACCGATTTATGTGTTCTCTAAGCTCTAATCGGGTTCATTATATTCACTTACACGCAAATAGTCTTGGGAAAGATATGAATCTAACACTTCTCCCTCTAACTATGGGTTAAATAGTACAATTTGTATCACAAAAAAAAATCATTATTATCTCCCAAACTTCTTATAATATAAAATATTTTATGGCTTTAAATTACCTGCAAACGGTTGATAAGCCGTAAAAAACAAAGCAATCAAACCTCTGGATAACATTGGTACAACTCAACGGAAGGAAAGAATGCGAGGAATATACGAAACAGTTTTTTTTATTAATAACCTAAAATACCACAAAATGGAGACACCCGAATTACGTTTGTCGTTTTTGCTCACTTCCACTAGTAGAATTGGTCCAGTTGGATGACGTGTGTGTGTGACGTAATAAGGAGGTAGTTTAGCTGTGACAGGGCAGCTGTTGTTGCCGTGAGGCACGGACAAGATTTAATACTGGGATGATTGTTAGGACAACTCTCAATTCCTTTTTTTTTCTAGGACCATAGTAGCATGGAATATGAAAATGGTGATAATCCAAGAACAGGACCACATTCGACTATCAAAAATGGTAACCAAACAAATAAAGGGAACTCAGTATGAAATCACATCTTAATTGAACGTTGGTATTGCTCAACCTATCAGTCATCGCACTGTGTTCTATTGTTCTTTATCACCAGAGTGTCATTACTGACCTCAGTTACTGCCCCTTAACTGTGACATAGAACATTACCACTGAAGCGCGGAATACCGCTACTGTGACAGATTCCGCGAAGACTGTCCAGATCATGCGTGGAGGACACTACCTGCATCCATATTGTTGTGCAATGGCTCTGTAATAAGGTTTGACAGGTTCTGTCAGCGTTCTAATACATCACAAGGCAACCTGGAACCTGTCTTGATAGATCTTTTATATCATTTCAGCTCTCCATTTTTCCAGGTTTGATAGCTTGTTCCCAAAATATAAACCAATCTCCACCGTTCCAAAAACACTCCATTGGCTCCAGCGCTCACCAGATTGAAGCTCCATTGAACATATATTGGATATGTTGCAGACCTCTCTAAATTCCCACCATCATCTCATGAGAGCTCAAAACCTCTCTTGAAAACGCCATCCGACCATCCACCAAATCTATGGTAATTTTCCACATGTTTCCTCTCTCATATGAGTTTGTCGAATACAGTTTGCTGACTACTATCACCGTGCTGAGAATGAGGTTGACTCCTCTCTCCTACTCTGGAAGCCTGCGTCAAACCTGAACAGGGACAGAAAACTATTATTCCCTGACGTCATCTCTTGCGATACAGGCATAGACTTGGGAACAGCAATGAAGGACCGGAAAGTATGGCGTAGTGTTGTGGACTCCATGAAATTCCCTGCAGACTCTCCTAACAAATACAACTCTTTAGATCAAATCACTGGATTACTTCACCCAACGCTTTTATCCACTGAGTCACATGTTCTATGGGGAAAAAAACAAAAGATCAAAACATATAAGCATAAAATTCTCTAAAGAGATTTAGTTACAGTAACCTAATAAATCTCATTTTTGAATATGCTCAAATAACAAAATCTCGATATTTTTCCTTTTTAAAAACAAAATATGAACCCAAAGAAAACTACAGATAATGAGAATTTTCAGACGTGAAATCAATATTCAATACAATTGTTTCAACATTTAATATTCATATTAAATCTGTTCTTAACTTTCCCGTGTCATCCAATTTCTCAATGTCTCTCCCTCCTATTCTCTCTCTCTTTCTCAATATTTGTTTAGTTTCCTCTTAACCAGATTATCCCTCCGTCAGTGAATGTTTTTGTCAACGTTCCTTGCTATGAATATATTCGTAATGATGTGCGGGTAGTGTAACGGATATCGGTGCAGAAAGTAGAATCGCTGAGCCGAGTTCAAACTCTGCATCCACTTTCGCCTTAATAAGCTTCGAATAAAAATGAACTCTCATCTTTCCCTAGCTATGGATTAAATAGCAGGGTAGACTGGACTCTCTTGTTTTACTAGGGCAGTAAGTCTAAGAGAAGGAAAACTCTTAATTCCTAACCATGGAAAAAGCAAAACCAGATCAACCCATTATCTTTTCCAAAATTATATGTCAATTCACAGATAAAGAAAAGTAATCTGTTGAAAATCGCCTACGTCCTGAAGAGACATGGTTTTAGCAATATATTCATAATTGAGGAAATGTTTTCGACATTAATAAGAATCTATGGTTAAATTTGAATGAAAGATTTACCCTTATTTTTTCCATTCAAATTTGTCCCTGGATGTAGACTAGAATGATTTTTTTTTTTTTGTCTGCTTCTTAAAATTGTATCAGTCGTTTATGTTCGTTTATCTGGCTGCAACAGGATTTTCTGTAAGAAAATCGGTGTCAGAGTTTGTAGATATTTACTTACTTACGAGTGAATGCGAGTGAACCCACTGAGAAATGGACACAATATATAAACATTGGTAACCATTATTTTACAGTGAGTAATCTTGTATGCTATTCTGGCAAAAGTCACAGGCTTGAAGCGCCCGGGGATGGTCAAACTAATGATTAATCGACGTAAATAGTTTGCTATTGACCTATGACAGGCGCACTCATTTACCTGCATAACTATTTATTTTAGTGATATCATGTAAGCCAGCAATTACTGGCCCATGGTCGGGTCATCACCGACTAAACCGGTACTCCAACCAGCAGGATTTAAAACAAGGCCCGTCAAAGGAGAGAAGGAATCCTCTTTTAGAGTCAACGACCATCTAACACAAGAAAGTAGATTGTGTGCCATAGCTATATAAGCAGCTAGTAAGGTAATGATACAACATCGCCGGGCTAATGTCTTCATAGCCTGAAGTCAACATTCATGGTGGAGGCATCCCTTGATTAAATCAAAGGACATGAGTCCATAACCAAGGTGAACCTTCATTAGAAATCGGTTGTAATTTGAACTGGATAGGGATGGTCTCCGTCAAATTTACTTGTCCATGACACGCGACACATAAATGAATACGTCTCCAGCAGCTTGCAACCCGCGAAGGTAACTTGTCGAGAGCTCAGCTTCGCAGCAACCTTACGATCAAACTTTGCTATAGGACCGATGAGGATGACTATACGTATATACTAAGTACAGCTTTGTATTTTACAAGGATACAACTGTATAGGACACTCCAAGAATCGAACACACTTCACAAATGAATGGTCCATGAGACACGCCAAATGACCAATACCCTAGATATTTACTCTGTCTCCCCACTAAGGTGGTGACCTGAGCGCGTACACCCGGGCCAGGAACAAAATGCCCGCAGACCCTGCAACCTTCTCTCTGGTGCAATGAGAGGGCGCTTTCAGAAGACATTATTCAGCACCATTGCTTTAATGGTACAAGTAACAGAAAGAGAAAATTATCAAAACATCAAATCTTTAAAAATACAAAAGAAAATACAATATTCAGAACGTTTACATGTAGGTACATATTACTTACCTTGCTATATATCAGTTCTTATAAATGCGTATATATTCCCATGTTTTGGTTTGTTAAGCTTTCTGTGAACAGCTGTCTTGGTGCGCGCTTCTCACTGCTCTGTCTTTGTAGATTATAACAATGAGTGAAAATACATCTTCAGGTAATTATAGACTTGCCAAATGCAAAGAACAGAACCCTCTATGCATCTGCACCTATATAGACAGTAAATTTATCTCGCTTGAGTCTTACCAATTTTCTCCCTGGGATCTAGTCAAATGAATTCCAAGATTTACATTAAATATAATTTCGGAAAGATATGCAATTCTTAAAAGATATAAATGTATATATGTGTATTTTACATACATAAATGCATATATGCCTCTTTAATATCTTTCAAGAAAATAAGAGCATAATTAAACGTAATGCCTTCAGAAACGTAGCGTGAACAAAATGGGTTATGGCTAATGTGATCAAAGGAAACTTGTTTTTGTGACTAACTGGTGTGATTGAAGGATACGACTGGTTGCAAAATCGTGACGAAGGAGACGTTACCAAGCGCAGATGTAGATTTGACCGAGAAAATTTTATATAAAAAATGATCAACACTGACGCCAACAGTGGAAGTCAATTCCTTTCATACTTTTTCACGTGGAATCTGGACGGTAATGTTTTCTCTTCTTGAAATAGGTGACATGAAGAAACTTGAAAAATTTTTCCATTGAAAAAAACAAGTTGATTTGAAATGAGATTTCTTTGTTGTTCGATCTAATTTTTTACGTCCATCTGAAAGTTCGTGTCCCTCAAACTTGATAAAAAAAAACCTAACCCTCAAACCAGATAAGAATGTAGCTCTCAAACCTGATAAAACTGACCAGAACTAAGAATATTTCGGAAACCTTTTTAGGACAGGCAGAAAACATTTTATTAGCCCATCTATAATATATGTATATCCGAATGGAGCGAGCGCTACTATCGACTATAGAACAGTGAGTTCTGTTTTTTGTACTATTACGAACACAAGAGATCACTAACCAACACGATAATGAGGTTCCATCGATAATTTTATTTGAAATTACATTTGATGTGGTGACTAATTTTTACTACGTTTGGTGTCATGATTTCACCTGTGAATACTATAACTACATTCCTACCACAACAATCACTTCTAAAACTTTGAGACAACCATTTGAAAATTGCTTCAATGAAAATAATATGTCCAGTTCATCTTCAGTACTTTCATTCATCTTTTATTTATATGCATTTAATTCAGTCTTTCTTTTCAGAAACATTCTCTTAATGCATGATAACAAAATTTAAAAATGATTGCCGTGTATGTTGAAATTTTAAAAAAAATGTTTTTCTATCTATGGTTTTTGAAGACTTGAAGAACAACAACGCTGGTTGCTACGACTAACCCGCATAATAGGTTTGGCTGATGGCATGTTGGCAGACATCTGTGTTTTTGTCTTGTAATACACTGAATTTGGTGTACTTTTTTTTAAAACCAGATTCTAATATGTTCTTAATTCTACCATTATAGTTTATTTTGTTCTCGTTACGTCTATTCAAGCCATAGCAGTATTTCTGTTCTAAAAGCGACAAGAAAAACAAAAACATTATATTACGTGAAATTTCATTGATTTGCTTTTAGTGTTTTTTTTACCAAATTTCCTCCATTTACAGTAGGTCTGAAAATGTCGATCCTTTTTGTTTTTGATGCAAATCCAGGCATATTTTTTTTCATTTATTTAATGCAATTTATAATGCTTATATATATATATATATATATATATATATATATATATATATATATATATATGCGTGCGCGCGTGTGTGTCTCTGTGTGTGTGTATGTGTGCGCGCGCGTGTGTGTGTGTGTGTGTGTGTGTGTGTGTGTGCGTGTGTTGTGTAAATTAAGAATTGCACGAGGTGATTTTTTTTCCCATTTATGGAATATTTGTAGTAAAATTTTGAAAATAACTTAATCACATGCATCTAGACACAGACACAAATAGAAATATACAGATACACTTACAACTGAGAAATGTGCATATACCCATATTTACATAAATATACATTAAGGCAAAGATAAATATACATATATACACACTTGCATATCTACATACGCTACGTCAGAGTTTATTATGCAAGACAATCTTTTCATAATACTGTTATTAACCAACACATGTTAATATTTTCAGGATACCTTTACTGGCAGAATATACCATGTAAATTTTATGTTTTATACATCTGTCATTATTACAACCAATAATGATAATGGTTTGTTTGAGAGGTATTATGCAATTTTTTATGCAAATAAACTAATTCCAAACTTTTATTTCTGGTTAAAAAACCGCAGAGATATTTTTTATTTAACGCAATATATTATATACAGGAATAAATTATTATCTTACATCTATCTATCTATCTATCTATCTATCTATCTATCTCAGTCTTTTCATTTCTTTCTTTTTTCTATCTATCTATCTATCTATCTATCTATCTATCTATCTATCTCAGTCTTTTCCTTCCTTTCTTTCTTTCTCATTTTGTTCATTTCTTTCTTTATGTCTTTGTTTTTCTATCTATCTATTTGGGCTCATTGGCATCAGTCGATTAACTTTGCCTTACCACATTTTAAATTATGGCACTTTGTGATCTCCACATATTTTGACAAAACTTTCAACACCTGGTGAATATTCATGAACATTGAAAAATTTAAAAGCGTTGATAAACCGATGACATCCTTGCTTTTGTATATAAACACGTGTAACAAAATAAATCCTACAGAACCTTGATAAAGTCTCTCAGAGGATGAAACGCGTCGGATAAGCAAAGTTCTTATTCTTGTCTTTTTATTCATTTTGTTCCTTTACAGATACATTCTATCTGAAAATAATTTACACTAACAACATTTCTGTTGGATTATTATCTGGAGAAACTGAATTCTATTAACTCCATGTCTTTAAAACTACAGTATGGGCAATAATCAACTTTGAAAATGTGAAAGACCATTGTCTTGCATGAATATACACTTTAGATTAATTGATTGTAACTTATCGTACAAAATGTCTTCCCCAAAAGCTTTCTATAATTCTCTGTAGGTATCTTGATACCTGCATCCGGTTTGAATGGACTTCTGTTTAATGCCTAAAATAGTAGCCAAAAATGTTATCCAACATTTATCCTTTCTTCCGTGTAGATTTACTAGTCCAGCCATGAAGTTCATCGAATGTAGCTCTAAAAACAACATTAAAAGTACAGTTGGAAGCTGAATTTTCACGTTCTTTTTCACTGAAAGTTTCTATTTAGAATGATTACTTAAAGGTGTTGCTTCATATCTTTAGCCAATCTCTTTAATATTATATATATATATATATATATATATATATATATATATATATATATATATATATATATTCTCAGTTTACATTCATGCGAAAGCTGCTGCTTCAAATATTTTATTTTCTGATAGTATAATTTTTTAATCACTTTTTGTGATATGCTAAGACCCGGTTTTTTTCTTGTTTTTCTTATTTTGATAATGTTTTCCAATTCGTTTTGCTTTTTGATTGTTCTGTATTCCCTGTTAATCAATTTTCAGATTTTCTTCTTTTCACTAATTAATTTTACTACATCTAATTTTTCTTTTGAGCATATATCTTTCCTACAATCTATGGAAAATTTTACATATCTAAAATTAAAAAGTAAAGCATTATTAATAATTATTATATATATACGAGTGGAAATCAGAAAGTAAATGCAATTTTGAAATTACGCGATGAAGTACAACGGAGCGATGCTGACACGCGACACCAAGCGTGAGCATGGGATGATGGATAGTTAGCCATGTGCAATATTCCATCGTTCAATCGAGTGGCAGGGAGTAACGAGGTCAAACTCAGCAATTGAACCATCGAGGAACAACGCGCTGTATTGCGCTTTCTGTTGGCAAAGAGTGTCAAACCTGCGGAAATCCATGCCGCAGTATGGGGCATGTACCAGTTATCAACGAAAGGTGTATGAGCGGGTAGAACGTTTTAAAGCGCGAAGAACAAGTGTAACGGATGATAGGCCATCTGGTTGCCCGTCATCGTTGCGCATGATAGAATACATCGAGAGGGTGGATGAATTATTAAGGGAAGACCGACCAATCATTCCAGAAAAAATATGAGACAGTTGTGGTGATCATCTTCGGATCTGCGCAAGTCATAGTGTATGATGACTTGGGGTACCGTAAAGTTAATGTGCGTTGGATACCCAAACAAAATAGCGATGTACACTTGGTTTTGTGTGCAACCGAAAAACTTCTTTCCAGAATTAGGGATAAAACAGCTCGTTGAACGATACCAAAAGTACACTGTCGTGCAGGGGTATTGTGTCAAAAAGTGACCTATACATTTGGTCTTCATCAGTGAAAATAAAAGTATTGTATTGAAATGACTTTTACTTTTTTATTTAGACTTATTTAAAACGATTCTCCCAAAATTTATTTAAAATAAGCAGAACTAACATTGTAGTAAAATATTACACCATCAAATAAGTTATTCTAAGCATTTCTAGTAAAAACATATATTACAATTAGAAATTTACGTGGTATGTTAATCATATAAATATAAGTACATCCTGTTTTTTTCTAAAAACAGTAGGTTAATTCCAGTTTTATGTTTAAAACATTGGCTTGCATAATAAAATCTGACATAATGTATAGACACACACATTCATGTATAGAGTCATTCATTTCCACGCACACATAATGTATGTGTGTGTGTGTGTGTGTGAGTGTGTAAACACACATAATACAGAAACACTGATAAATACATATTTGCGAGGTGATGAAAAGTACTCAGCCCATCCCACATCGTAAAATCTGAAAATCCAGAGTTTTTAATAGATTCCAAGAAGAGCTTTTCAACACACACACGCATGCGCGAATATACATATGCAGACGCATAAGTAAATACCTAAGCAGAGAGAGAGAGAGAGAGAGGAATATATATACCCCTATATATATATATATATATATATATATATACATACCCCCATATATATATATATATATATATATATATAGAGAGAGAGAGAGAGAGAGAGAGAGGGAGAGAGAGATAATATATACGGGCAAAAAGAAATTAACATATCCGCACGTATCTATCTAGATATAGCATACAGATACAGATAAATAGAAATACACATACCTACGCAAATATACACATACTCACGTCCGTACAGATATATATATATATATATATATATATATATATATATATATATATATATATATATATATACGCACACAGAAATATACATATACACATGTACACCCATACGCATACATACATGCATACATACATACACAGAATTATACATAAGAAAAATTATGGCGAATAAAAAATAAGTACATTCTCAATTACTTTTTTCTAAGTTTTGTACTAAACGTAAAACTCAAAACCTACTTTCTGTCATCCAATTTAAAATTGTTCTGTTATTGATTTAGTTTAAGAAGAGATGTTATTGAGAATTTGGAGATTTCGATACTGTTAAAAATTAGTTTTCTCCAATACAATGTCTTCCATACTTTAGAATGCATATAATTTCGTCACAGAATACCGCTCATAAATTGGTATGCAAGCGAAAAACAAAGAAAGTTATGATGACTGAGTAAATGAAAAAAAAATGGACATGTTCACTTCTTATAGAGAAGATTAAATTATATAAGTATATATGATTTGAATGTACCAATTTGGCGTCACGATGAACAGTATAGAAGATGTCAGGAGTGAACAGATATCGAACTGCGGTTTCTGTCACTTTGCAAAAAAAAATTTAAAAAAAAACACATGTAAAAATCCATAAACCTATATCCCTGTTCTATGTCCTATCGTGAGTTACCTTTACAAAATATCTCATACCTGTATACTGCATTGTTTGATGGCAAATAGATTGGTAAGGGCTCACTAAGTTAAACGATTCTCCCAAAACAGTGGCAAAAAAACCTGACAACACAATTATCATATCCGCACGTATCTATCTAGATATAGCATACAGAAACAGATAAATAGAAATACACATACCTACGCAAATATACACATACTCACGTCCGTACAGATATATATTTATATAGAGAGGAGAGATTAAGAATATAATAAAAATGTAAGATGTATGTTATGGTAATAATTGTCGTTTCTTTACAAGGAATTATTTGACATTCATTATCGAGCAGTCAGTACTGCTTTTGGTTGAAATGTCTTAAGATAACTTTTGAGACAAAGACCTTTCTCAAGTCCAGTAGCCATTATCGCTTTTTTCGAATACTGATGCGTTTTCTTCTTAACCTTTTATTTAAAACAGCATGTAATGTTAACATCTTGATTAGGAAATTATTTTCTCTTCCAGTTACATGTTCTATTTATTTTAGTTGTTGTTGCAGTTGTTATTACTCATGTAATGTTATTTAGTACAATTCTTTGTTTGGGGCCAGGCAACAATTTTCAAAGATGTTTGATCCTTGCAAAGGTCTACAAGTTTCACTTATTCGAAGCATTTTTAAATGTATCTTTTGTGAAGAACTACTTTTAAAAATATGGAAATCTTACAAAGAGAGACGATAAATAATGACGTGCATTGTATGTATTAGTGAATTCTCTAGATATTTATTAAAACAGTTGTACTAAATGATTTGTGTAAAATACCCAACTAAGTATTTGTCAGATTAATAAATAAGAAATCCGTTACTTCTTTAGAAATTACTTTGTTTACGTTCAGATACGAAACTGAACAGTTATAAATATTCGAGAATCTCAGAATCATTTGCACTTGAGGCACTATTCGTCATTGCTTGATCGGTGAGGCCCGTCGTGGCCATGTCGGTCTGAAGCACGTCTGATTTCTAACAACGGTTTCTCCTACAAAGGAGAGACGCAGGTTCGAATCCTGCTGGAGGGTACATATTGTTCTTTAATAAGATTACTCGAATATTCGATAGGCGAAAATAAATATAATGCTTAACAAATAAACGTAGCGTCAACTCAAATAACGTTTAAAGTGATAAAATATGCCGGATTATTAAATAACAAATCCACCAATTCTTTAGAAGTACAACAAAGTACGTAAAAATGGAATATGCTAAAACCAGTTGGATGCTAAATATTTTTTGTATGCAGTGTTTGGCTATTTTGCGTGATCATTTTCAAAATAACTGAAAACTCCAAGAAAAAAGCGTTACTATGGCAACTCTGCTATATATTTAAAAATATATCCGTGATCAAATCAATGACATTTGCACTTATTCTCCATAACCTTATTCAGATTTTATTTTAACATTTTTCCTATATGGAAATCTCAATGATTGGAATAATACATAGAATAAATAATGGTTGGACAACCGGTGGTTTATAGCGCAACTTTGCTGAGAGGACCTTTCTTACAGTTTCTGGAAGAAAGAGCGTTATAAGGTGTGATCAACAGCTTTGAACAAGGCTAGTACACTCAAATCCTCGGTCACGATGACTTGTGACTTCGTGCTAGCACAACCATCGACGGCTCCTATATAGTTTCGTCTACCCAATTTCACTCACAAGAGTCAACTCGTGGTATGGCTTTCAGGCACTT